CTTTTTTTATTGAACTAAAAAATCTTAAATATTCCGAGCTAGAAAATTTCGTCAAGTATTAACAATGTTTCAGTGGGTACCACTGAAATTTAACATTATAAAAATACGTTATATCAAATCCACATTTTTATTAAGCGATATTAAGGCGCAATTTTTTATACAGATAGCTTTAGACCATCTAAAATGGTTGGATTTAATTAGAAAATTTAAACGAAAGCAAGAACGTATTGGTTTTCATAGAACGGCTATTATAAGTGAACGGCAGATGGACACGTGTGACGTCAGTTCGTGAATAACCACGTGACTCCCCGTTTCAGGCGAAAACGAAAGTAAGCGTTTTTTGATTGAAAATAACTGAATAAATAACCTTCTTAGAAAAGTAATAAAATGTTTTCTGGGAGTTTTGAGGGATTCTGAATGCATTAAAATTTAAAAAAAATTTGACTGTAATTGTCCATTTTGATCCTCTGCAGAGGGGATGCCCCCCCGCTTCGGTAGCCCGACGACCCGCACGCGAAATCGAGCACTTTAGGGTAGAACAGTTTAACAAGGATCAATACCGCACACCCTCGAACCCTGCGCAGACTAATCCAAGTGGTCACCCATCCGCACACTGACCGCAGACAATGATGCTTGACATCGGTGATCTGCTAGGAAACGATCAGTCCACTGCGGGACTCGTCCCTGAGGATGATTCGAAGACATGTCATCACAATTATGATCCTCTGGAGACAGAATGGCTCCCCCGTTTTGGTAGCCCGACTAGCTGCGAGTGAAGTCGAGAACTTTATGATAGAACGGTTTGACAAGGACCGATACCGTGCATCCTTGGTCATTTCGCAGGCTGATCAAAGTAGTTACCCGTCCACATTCTGTCCGCAGCCAGTGATGCTTAATCTCCGTGTTCTACTGGGAACCGTTTCGTTAAGACCAATGCACTGCGGGACTACTCGGTTACAGAGTTCAATGATTCTTTTCAATGTAGTATTTAGTTAACTGGTATGGCAATACATGCATTGTTGTCAAATTTTCTATACTTTTTTTTTTCTTTTTGTATTTACCGAAAACAGAATGTCGAGTAAGCATATGATTAGTTTCGAATTGTAGGGATCTAGAAGTATATTTAAAATATTCTTATTAAGAATTATACACTTTCTTGAAACCTGCAATCTACGAATATGTTCATAGCTTTTGGTCTTTATTTACGGGACATTACATATATAACTCGTGTTTTTCTTTGTCGTGTTTTGAAGATAAATAAGATAATGTAACTTATTATCTTATAATGCAAGTAAAATATGCGGTCGGAACTTAAACATTTGAAATTCAAAATGTATATTAGGTTTTTAAAATAACAATATGAGGACTTATAGTAATATATTAAATGATGACGTTGAAAAAGGGTGTTTAATAAATGATGGCAAAACTATTAGCAATTTTGAACGGTTAAATAATTTCAGAAGTTATCCCTTACCATCTCGTAGTGTTCGAAGGGTGAGTAAAATTCTTCCATTTGTTGTATAAGTATTTAAATCATCCTGTTGATTTGAAAATGATATTTGTATTAACAGTGGAGCAGAAAATTCTCGGAGCCTAATATTACCCCACAGTTTTTTTGGTTTGAAATTTCCTTCAAAATCTTAGTGCCATTTAAATTTTTTCTTTGAATAAGAACAATTTTTAAACAGTTCTTAAAATAGCATATATGTGAAAAATAATAAAATTCTAAATATATTGAAATAATATTGATATATAAAAACTAAATTTAAGGTCCCAACCCATATACTTAAGGAATTCGAACTAATTAATAAGCAAATTGACTTGTTAAATTATTTGTGTTATGTTTACCATAACAGAAAATATTCTTTTTTAGACAGCAATTTTGCATGGTATAGAGAATTAAAAGATTTGTTAAAATAAACTTTAAAAATGTAAATTTTTATTTTCTTTGTACAGAGAAAAATTTTGTGAAGCCAAAATTTTTTTTTGCAATGAAAAATTTTGTAACTTTTTTTCTTAATTAGACAAAAAATTTTCCCAGGACTGCCTGCTTTTCCCCAAAACCATTTTTGTGTGCTCGAAGATATTTAGCACTCCTGTGTATTAGCTTGTTTATTAATATGTGTAGTAGGGTGGGGGAGATTTCCATATCGTGATTTGTGGCAAAATAATCACCAAGTCTTGGCAACTTCCGGGCAGCTGCCGTGAGGAACTAAAAAAACGTCACAGAACGGGACCAACACAAAAAGTATAACTCATCACCAGCCCTGAGCAAACATCCACATGTTTTTTTTTTTTTAAATAAGAAATTTCTCTTTTAAAATCAATTTAGTGCCTTGGTGATTGTACAACTTGCCTGGCAGATCACGATATGCAAATATCCCTGTAGGGTGAGCCAAAAAAGTCGAAGTATCCTAATTTTAGCATTGATATAATGAGCATTTGTATAAGTTTTTAATGATAGTGTAGTTGAAATTCCCATATCCGTAATTGTGGGGTCCGGGAAATAGTTTTTTTTCCAGATAATGTCTTTAAAGTAAACAAACATCAAAACATCTTTGTTCAATAAAAAAAAACTAATGGATTCTAATTAGCATCAAATTCAATCAACAACGAATAAATTCACGTGGTTGCGCTATTTTCGTAGCTTTTGTTACAGATTTCTACATGGCCTTTAAAATCTCTATATTTTATTATACCATTGTATCATACTACAAATTCTAAATCATACATTTCAGTTATTAATTATTTGATACACTTGATAACGACGATTTCACATTGAATCCACTTGATTTTGACAATAATTTTTTCAGTAAATATTAAAATGGATTTTGTCTTGGTTTTTATGTTATAACATTTTATTACAATATTTCGTTTGGAAAACTTTGAATCACCTTTGCCACTCAATTATTGACGACTCACCCGCAATCTCAATGGATTCATGATCACATTTTTGTCAGTTATTGCTACGGATTTTCATAATTTTTTTTTTATTACTTCATTATCATATGGGAAATTTTGAATCGCACATTTGTTGAAATACTTTTTGATGCACTTTATTTTTGACAATTCTACTGTCCACATTGTTTTGTTGATCGCTTTTTCAATAGTTTGGGATTTCCACGTGGTTTTTAAAATTTCGATTTCAGTTTTAATATAATATTATTACGGTCCGCATATTCCAAATCGTGCTTTTGAAGAATCACTTAATGACCTGCCTTAGTCACGACAATTTCATCCTTTTAGATTTTTTTTCTTCAAAATATTAAATAATCTAGTGCTTGGTTCTTGGCGATAATAATCCTTTTAAGCTGTACATGAGAAAGAAATTACGTGATTTTTTCGAGCGATAATGAAATGCCGGATTTCGTTTACGTGAGATTCAATTTTATATTCTTATTATAGCAAAAATCTGGTTTAAAAGTGAAAAAAATCTGAAATCTGGTAAAAATCATAAAGAAGCAAAAAAGCAGAAGATTCTTATTTATGCATACTTTTTTTTTTGATTGTTGAAAAGTGTTCGGAAAAGAGATCCTTCTAGTAAATGGATGTCCTGATATTGAACTTTGTACTGTAGTCAATAACTTTTCCATGCTACCATTATAATATTTATGATATTTTGATTTTTTTAGTTCAATTTAATGTGTAGTAAAGCATGATTTTCTATATCTCGTCAATAATTAAATACTGTTAAAATTTATCGATAAATTTAGCTTTTAAACTTTATTGAAGGCTATGTAGTTTTTTTTTTCTGACTATATCATATCATTATGAATAAATTTCATTTTCTTCTGTTTCATTGCAGCTCTGGAATCAGCTATCAAAGTTGCAACGTTTTATCATTGGCATGTTATTTGCTTTTGTGATATTATGTGTTATTGTCATTTTACCCTGGACAGATACTTCCTTTTTGTTTGAAACTTCCTATAATAAAAAAGTTCAGTATTCAAATAGAAATAATTTATTGGATGATTTTGAATTAAATGATAATGCCAAACAAAGTCAAATTAGCACTACAGCAATCAAGATATTTCAACATGATAACATTCCACGTTTAAAGGTAAGATTATTATATGATCACTAAGGGCTGTATTTTAATGATATTTGTAATTTTAGACTTTTCTTCTCTTAATAGATATAATTTTTGGATTTTATAAGATACTTTAATAATTTTTGTGCATAAGTTTTTTTGATATTTTTTTTTTGTTTGGTCAATTTTTTTAAAAATGAAATATCCTATATTTTGAGTCTTCAAGACTTAGTATTTGTCTCGAAAATTTTCTAGATATCAAGTTTTTAAGGTAAGCCGAAATGGTAGTAGCTTGCTTTATACAAGGAGGTATGTTTCAGCTGATAAACATGTGAATTATTAAAAAATTATCTCTTAAAATTTCTATAATACTGCATGCCAGTTCTTGAAATTTCCCAGCTGTATTGATTTAAAATATGTCTAATAGTGTTGATAGATTTATTTTCTTTGCTTTTTTTTGTTATTACTGTAGTAGCAGAAACCATTCAGCACTACAGCAAGCACTGGAGATTATCAAGGCAGTTACGCATTTTTGCTCAAATTTATGCAGAAATAATAAAAATTTGCAGAGAGAAATTAAAGATCAAAGCATCAGTGATTCTATGAATTTCTTTTACGGAAACATTAAATAGCTGAGAATTGAAACTCCATAAAATACAGCTAATCATTGTCGGTTTATTTTTCTTATTTCATTGAAATAAAAAGACTATTTCAAGTTCATCTTTTAGAAACTTTTTTTTTCAATATTTTTTTTACTGGGCTTATCATAAATATCTTCTTTTTTTGTTGTTGGAAAAGCTGTATTTTAATACTGCCATCCTTTTTGAAACATTTCCAAACTTGTTTCAAATCAAAATCCTAACGCTGGGTTTGGAAAAGAGTTACAAATAAGTAAAGGAACAAAATGTTTTTAATTTCTTTCTTTCTTATTTCTTTTAAAATAAAATAAAAAAAATAACAAGTGAAACAAGGAATTCAGATTATTTGGCATCTTTTGCAAATGAATGTAGCTTCAATTTTGTTTCTTGAGATTGTTAAGTTCAATGATTATGTTGGGAGATACGGGAAATTATTTTTCATTTGTGAAACAGATCGGAATTACTGTCTACCTGTATGCAAAGTGTTTCTGAACTATTTTAAAACTTGAAACTGAGATGCAATATACAGACATTTTATGTAAAGAATATGGATAGTTTTAAAAAATTTTGGTAAATTTTCTTTAATTAAGAATCTTTAACCATAAAGAAATTTTAAAGAATGAGTAATTTTTAAATTAGATTCATATTTGGCAGTCTGGTTTAGTCTGGTTTTCACTGAATAAGAAAAAAATTAAAATTTATTTTTTATTTTGATAGATATGTAAATGATATCAAAAGTTTATTTCTTGTGTATGGTAGAAAAATTGTTTTAACATTGATCTGAATTATAAAAGGGTTGTTTTTTACATAAAATTCTACTTATTAAAAACGTAATTTATTTGTTGGTTGAATACATAATTATTGGATAGAAATTTCTTTAGCTGAAATATAGTTATTGGGCTGAAATAACCTTTACATGTATGCAAATATATTTATAAACATCTTTTGATATTCTATTATTCTTATTAACAGTGCCTCTTTCTTTTTAGATGGAAAAAGTTGGATTTGATGGTGGTAATTTCTTGGACAAAATTGTTGGAGCAGCAGTGGAACAAAAAAGTATTTTGAGTAAAGTTTTTTTTTTCTTTTAAAAATTTTGTATTAATACATTGATTAGTTTTTTTTAATTCTATATAAAAATAGATCCAATCTTTTAGGTTTATTTTAACTGGCAAGATTAATTTGTAGGGCACAGAGTCCTGGTATACCTGTGACAATTTCTGATATTTTTGCTATATTTTAAAAGTCTTGTTGTTTTTTAAAATGATTCTTTTTATTCGGAGATAATTTTAGAGTAGGCACCAGTCATGCTGACTGTATCTCCTCTAATATGTTGTCAAAGAGTCCATATTACAATATTTAATGCATTAATAAATGAAGATCAAGATAGAGGAATAGTTTATGTCCATTTTTCACAAAAATGAAGATTGTATTGCCATCTGTTGCAATTTGAGGATTACTATTACTAACTTTTGACGAATCAGTAACATAGAAAATGCTTTCTCCATCTGAGTTTTTAGGTAGTAAAGATGGATTGTGTGCTTTGTGAAAACAATTTCTGTCAGCACACATAATTAGTTTTTCCTCAGATTTAAACTATTCTTCCCCCTTGATCTTCAAATTTTAAGTGTGCAAAAAAGAAAAAAATTGCAATGATAAGTTTTTATTTTTTTTCCTTCATTTTATAAAATTTAATACATTAATAAATCTAAAGTGTCGAAAAATTATGTTCACTTTTGTTTTAATGATTAGTAAGTGATTGGATTTTACCTACTAACAACCCATAATATTTACCTACTAACATCCCTTAATATCCTAATTAATTTGTGCAAATGATATTTTAATTTACAAAATCAGTCTGAAAAAAAATTCCTTTTTATAAACATGCCTCTTTTTTCCCAACAAATTCGGATTTTTGACTAATGTATAGGGGATATCTTGTAATTAAAAAATTGGTCCCAAATGTGATCAGAAGAGATGTCGAAATCTTGAGCCTCCTAAATGATAACTTCACTTTTTCTACATTTTGCTTATTGCTGGAATTATTTATTGCGAACTTTCTGGTGCATGTAGGATCTCAGTCTTTGTCATCATGCATCTCCATACTTTTCCATTTTCAGCTTTCTTTTTATAGTTTTTAACTCTTACGATTTTTAGATCTCGCTCAACTTCCGCAAGCCATCATTTTCTGGGTTTTCCAACATTTCTCTTATGTTATTTTTCCCCAAAACACCTTTTTTAAATCTTGATTCTCATGCATTCTTATTAAGTGACCCAACCACTGTAGCCTTTTAGACTTAATGATGTTAGTTATATCTTTGTTTTTATATAGCTTCTCAATTTCTATTTTCATTCAGATTCTCCTAACATGACCATCCTTTACAGGTCCAAATAGTTTTTGCATAAGTTTTCTTTCCCAAGTTAAAAGTAATTATTCTTCATATCTCTTCAGGTTTCCCTTCTGTAGGTTATAACTGATCTCAATATTGCTTTGTAGATTTATAGTTTTTAATGTACAAGATGATGTACAAGATCTAAATATTTTCTGGAGTGAGAAAAAACATCTCTTTCTTGTTGTAAGTCTGGCCTTAATTTCAGTTTTAATGGTATCTTCCGTCATCATAGTTCCCAAGTATATAAATTCAGAGATTTTTTTCAAATTCCATCACAGATCTGTAGTGTCTATGAAACTTTTCTTTTTCTCTTGTCTGTTACCATGTATTTGATCTTTTGTTTGTTAATTACCTGTCCTATTTCTTTATTTCTTTTGCTGCCTTTTCAAGTTTATTATACATTTCAATTAGTGTTTTTTCCTATCTGGTTATTAAGATTACATTATCTGCAAAAGCAAATATTTGTTAAGAACGGTTCCTAATAGGACCCCCTCTGTCATTATAGACTTCTTTGATAACTTTTTTAAAGCAAAAATTAAAAAGTAATGTTAAGAATATCACCATATTTTAATCTCAATTTAACTTTTAAATTTTTCTGATACTTCTTGTATCTCTTTACTTTTGCATTGGTGTTTGTTAGTGTCATCTTGATCAGTCTAATTAATTTACTAGGGGTTCCAAGTTCCACTTATACACTCATGGGCAAAAAAATTAGCTCACCAAGAAGGAGTTGTCAAAATGAAACGAAATTTTACATACGTAATGACTACATTGATATAAGTAAATTTTTGGAAAATCAAAGAGAACCGATGATCTTTGCACTAATTTTTTTGTCCATGTGTGTATTTTAAAAAGTTTTTCTTGATTTATACTGTTATACGCTTGTTTTAAATCTATAAAAATAATTGATGCACATTTATATTTCGCGCATAAAAATTTTCTAAAATATTTCTGATAAAAAAATTTGATCTACAGTTGATCAGCCAACTCTAAACCCGCATTCATGATTGTCAATCAATCAATCAGAAAAGTGTTGAAGTCTTTTTGCAATTACCTTAGTTATAACTTTATAGATAATTTTTTTTCTTCAAGTTTAGTATAATTTTTTTCATTATTAAATTTTTAATTTTTGTAAAATTTCTTTGAATAAAATTCACTTTATGAAAAAAAAGCAATTTTTTCACGAAGCAGCTTATCTTTATAAATACTCAAATTTATTATATTTTTGAAACTGCGTGCAGTTATTGTGTTCAATAACAAACATTTCATAGTTAAACTGATTTCAGTTTTTTTTAAATTACGTATTGTGTTTTTATTTCTTTTAATCAGATTTGACTAGTCCCATAAACAGCCCTATGACTAAATGAGCAATAATATTATCTTATAATTACAGGAAAATCTGTCCATGATATTTTGAAAATTGAAATTGTCTGGTAACTTTTGTTCACATAGATAAGCTTTTATTAGCCATTGATTTTATTTTTAATTTGTGTGAAGCATCAGAAAAACAAAAATTCTAAAAGTTATCTTTAATGTTAGTTTGTGCTTGATCAATGTATTCAAACTAATTTGATGTTTGTAAAGAAAATCTAGTTTATTTTAATGTCTTTTTAGTGTAAGAGGAAAATCTGTTAGCTATTACTAAATTGAATCATACTTTGTTGACTTATTTTTTTTCCTACATAACCAATTTGTTATTTTTTAGCTTCAGCCCAAGATAAACAAAAGTCTATTGTAGATGCATTTCTGCATGCTTGGAAGGGCTATAAAAGTCATGCTTGGGGACATGATCATTTGAAACCTATAACCAAAACTTTTCAAAACTGGTTTGGCCTTGGATTAACCATAGTGGATTCTTTAGACACATTGTATATGATGGGATTATATGAGGGTAAAAATAAAATCCTTTATTATATACAGTAGAAGATCTTTATAATGCAAACTTTAAACCTGCAGTTTTGTGTTTTATAGAATTTTACGTTATCTAGATCCTTTAATTTATTTTTAAACATACCAAGGCAATATTAGTCTGGAACAGATCAATCTTAAAAGGCTTTAAATTAATTTGTAAATACAAATCTGCTTTTAAGTATTTATTATTTACAGAAAAAAATTGATGCTTTCTAGAGTATTCAAATTATAAGAAAAAATTATAAATTTTGTTATGCTTAGCTTTGAAAATTGTATCCTCTTAGAAAATAATTTTAAGTAAATTTTTGTAAAGTAATTTTTTGTAAAAAGTTAATAGTTCTTGCTTAGTTACAGACATCTCTTACTGCAATTTTCATTGCTTACACCCTTAAAGTTAATGTTTTTGGAGAATTGCGATTTGTAGAATTGCATGTATAGGTCTTCTACTCTTGTAATGAGTTTTCTTTTAAATAATCAATAATTCTAATTTGTAGAATTCAATGAAGCCAAAGAATGGGTGATAGAAAAATTAAACCTTAACCTGAACAAGGATGTAAATTTTTTTGAAACTACTATTAGAGTGATGGGTGGTCTTCTTAGTGCCTTTCATCTTTCCGAAGAATCCATTTTCTTAGAGAAAGCTGTAAGTATTTTATTTTTTTTATATCTCTATTAGGTTTCAAAGTTTACTTTCATTCCCCAACATCCTATAAAAATTACTCCAACTTATCTTAATACTTTTTTTTGTAAAATTTATGAATCAGTCTGAATGATATATATATTTTTCAGAGGATATCCTTGTTCCATTTCCGAATTTTCATCCTAGATTCTAAATTTAACTGGATCCGAGTTTAAAAAAAGATTCATACTTATTTATTATTTTATTTCTCTTTTATTTTTTAAAACATCATGTTCTTAGAAGGAGTGGCAAAACTTTGTCGCATGTTTAATTATATGTTCCCAATTTTTTTCTTCTTATTTAATCCACTTTTTAAATAATGAGTTTGAACAAAAAACTAACCTCTCAAATTTGGATTCTAACAGATAATTTATAACTCTCTTTGGAATCATTTAATGCTAGCTTGATAGTTTTTGTATTTTCCTCCTACTAGCACATCCTATTATGTTAATAATTTACTAAATTATAATCACAAAATTCTGATTATTTCTTAAATGATTAAATTCAGCTTAACTTTATTCCTACTTTAGTATTGAAGAAATGAAAAGTAGCCATATTTTGATCGTTTTCATATTTCCATTATACTTTTTCCCAGTAAAGTATGGGGATATATTTTTCTTTTTTATTTCTCTTTCATCTTGTGTTCACTGATATGTGGGTGCAAGGCATTTTCCCCACCCCCTGTTAAATCAAAGAGAAAACGAAATCAGCATGCCAGGCCTTTGAGTTTGATTAACCGCAGCTTATCAGAAAAACTATTCTTTCTGACATATAAGAAAGTAAAACATTCGTCACTTCCCTGCCCCCTCTCGATTTAAAGATTTTCTAGGTCACGGAAGAAATGACGTTTCTCTGGGAATAAGAGGAGAAAATTTCCCCCTCCCCCCACATTTTCCTCTACTTAACTTCAAGGATGAGTCAAATTTCCACTTTTTTTCATAATCGTTCTAGTTTGAAATGGCGGGATAACCGGGCAAAATTTTCCCCAGATTTCTGGATACCGAATAAATATTTCTCTACTGTACTAGAATGCTCTAAATCCAACTCAGTGATGAGTTGTATTGAAATTTATATTGGCCTCCATACTTAAATAATGAAGGAGAAGAAATTTGTTTTTCTTATTTCCTGCAAAATTTTGTTCTTCAGAGATAGGGCTTTTTATGTTATTGGACAGAATATTTGTACTATAACTCATTAAAATATTTTCATAAAAAATGCATATTTTTTATCAATTTTGAATTTTTTATGTAAATTATTTGAGCTATTGTTTGTGTTAAATGTCTAGAATTAATTCAACAAGTAGAATTTTTTTTATTTAGGTTGATATTGCAGACCGACTAATGCCTGCATTTAAAAGCTCATCTGGAGTGCCATATTCAGATGTTAATTTAAAAACTGGACATTCCCATCCTCCAGTATGGGGCCAAGATAGTACAGTGTCTGAAATATCCACTATACAGCTGGAATTTAGAGATATAAGTCATTTGACTGGTGATCCAAAATATGAAGTAAAGTTCAGCTTAGTCACATATTTGTTGTTCTAATTTTATTAATATGGGAAATATGTTTATTTTTTTTTTTTACAATTTTCGTTTAACACTTTATGTATAATTTTATCGATAATAGGAAAAAACCAATTCTTCATATTCTTTTTTATTTTCTTGGAATTATGAATCTCATATCACAATTCGTATTACACAATATACAAACAATAAACTTGATTTACATTTTATATTCATGCAATTTTCAACTCATTGTTTCTTTTTTCCAAATCTTATTTTTCGCTATTTATATCAACTACTAACTGCCTTACAAGTTGCACATCACAATTTAATCTCAATTTGCGAGTCAATCTTGCGATCTCCAATGTCTTACCTTAACCGTGTTTCATATGAGAACACATATATTTATGCTATTTTAAATTAAAAAATCACAATATCTATTTTCACAATTAAAATCCTACATCTTAATTTGTATTATCTCAATATTATGCTACAAATTTTATATTTACGGAATTTAAAAATCAAATCTTAATTTGCATTTGCGCCATTCTAAAATCGAAAATAGTGATTTGCATTAAGTGATTTAAAAGTCACACATAGTGACTTTTATTCATGTGACTTAAAACTTACACATCGTGATTCCTATTCACATGATTTCAAAATCAAACCTGGTTTATTTTCACACAATTTGAAAGTGACACAATGCTATTCATATTCATATGATTTGTTTTTAAGAGTTTACAATTTTAGTATTATATTTATTGTGTTTTTCTAAGTTTTTTTAAAATATGTTTTAAAAGCAGTTATAAAATTTCTTGCTCAAGTTATGAAGGTTATTATTTTTTGATTGCAAAGTGAAGAGCCACATTTGGGATTATGCTGCAGATTGTGCTGCTCTAACCTGTTTGATATGTTTAAAAAACAATTTTTGAAAAGTTAATTATCTTTTTACATTCATTTTGAAAGTAAAAAGTTTAATGAAGTTAAAAAGAATTCAGAGCTTTTTTATTAAAAGAATGCAAAAGAATAAATATATCATCGACCACACATATCTGCAACCACATTCCATGAACATATAATTTCACATAACTTTTAGTACTTCCTTTCACTAACTTACTTAAAAGCATAATGTATGTGTTTTGAATTTAAAAATGATTGCTTAACATGTTAATGTTTTGCATTTTATTAGTAGTGCCATTGTAATGGATTTCATTAAACTTTTGAAAGGCATAAAAATTATTATAATTTCTTTTCATTCCATTTCTTTTATATTAAATCTTCGGTAACAATTAAGTAATAATTTTAGTATATACTGTTTGTTATTCTTGTGTACATGAATTATTTCTGTACACAAGAATAACAAACAAAAAAAAGAAAGCATTTCTTCTAGGACAAAGAAACTTAACTTTGATGTATTTAAATAGCTAGTTCCAAGTATCTAAACTTATAAAAAATAAAAAATGAAAAAATCTCCTAGTTTGGACCACATCCATGCAGAATTTCTCAGATATTTGGGCATGAAGGCAAAGAAGACAATGTTGAACATCTTTAACCGAATTTTGGAATCTGGACAGATCCCGGCACTTTGGAAAAGAGCTATTATAGTCCCCATTTTGAAAAAGAATAAAGATCCTGGAGAGTTGAATAGCTATAGGCCCATCTCTCTCACGAGTACCTATACTCGCTAAAACAATGGAGAGACTTGTGGTTAACCGCTTGAACTGGTATCTGGAAGAATATGGTATCCTGGCAGTAGAACAGGCTGGATTCCGTAACAACAGGTCAACGTGTGATCAGGTGACACAATTCAGCCAGTTTGTCAAGGACACTTTGGACGAGAGAAAAATTTTGACAGCCATCTATGTTGACTTTAAAGGGGCATATGACTCCGTTTGGCGAGAAGAACTCTACCAGAAGCTCTTGAGTATTGGTATCACTTCAAAACAATTTAACTGGATTAGATCTTTTACAAGTCAGAGAACCTGCAAAGTGAAATTTGGAGAATCTCCAAATGTTATAATCTACAGACTGGACTACCGTAGGGTGCAGTTAGTAGCTGTACACTGTTCAATATCTATATTAATGATCTTGTCTCAACTCTTAAGTGAATACCTGATATTATGTGTCTATTGTTTGCTGATGATCTGATAATATGGACTCAAGCACCAGAACGCTATGCAAAAAACCTTATTGAAAATGGCTTAAACAGGGCTCTGCAGGCACTCTCAAAGTGGAGTGATAAAAATATGACTGTTAACCTTGAAAAGACAGCTTCACAGTCCTTTTCACTAACTCACGATACCTTCCGCCCAGTGTTACAGTACCAGAATAGATTGATTGTCAATACAGATAATTTCACCTACCTGGGGGTGACTTTTGATAAAAAGCTTAGTTGGAAAAGCCAAGTGGAATGGCTCATAGAGCGGGTCACAATTAGATTTAATGTCCTCAAGCGTTTGGCAGACTGTAAATGGGGGTGTGCCTGGTCCACCCTTAACACTACATATAATACATTCATCCTCCCTCTTATGACGTACTGCTGCTAGGTCTTCATTACAGCCCCACAACTGTTGTTAGACAAACTTGAGGCTCTGCAAAACCAGGCTCTTTGCTTGATTACAGGAGCTGTTAAGTCAACGCCGATTGACACGATACTAATCCTAACAGGAAATAGACCTTTCCAAGATACTTTAAAGGAGAAAGCTCTGATTCTATGTGAAAAGCTTCTGAGAATCGATGACCCCTACGGGAAAGACTATGTAATCAGGCCTAGACAACTTAAAACCCAGAATGGATTTACCAGCCTAAAAACCCCTTGGAAATAACAAACATTGAAATAAACTTGGATCTTGTGAAAACTGTCCATGGTAAAAAAGATGTTGCGCCAATTATTCTAAAAAATCTTGCCCTGGAGACAATGACGGTTAGATACCCTGTCGACGATTGGCTACATGTTTTTACTGATGGTTCTCAATTTGACTGCCATTTTAATGTAGGGGCTGGTGTCTTTTCGGAACTTTTCTCTTTCTACGTACCAGCGGGATACATTGGCACCGCCTTTGATGGAGAAGTAGTGGCCTTGAGTGCGGCCTTACAGCAGCTATTGGCCCTCCAACACAAATTTGAAAATGCAATCCTCTTTTCAGACTCACAAGCGGCCATACAATCAATTAGCTCACATGAACGTCCCTTGACACCTGAGATTTCCCGATGTCAAAACCTCTTGAGGTCTTTATTTTTGAGGGGAAAACTAATAGTCCTCCTGTGGGTGCATGCCCATTGTGGTGTTTGGGGCAATGAGCAGGCAGATTTACTTGCCAAAAAAGGTGCCAATTTGCTACAACAACCAAATACAGCAACTTGCTTTTGGAAAATCAAACTGTTCCTTAAAAATTTATGTAAAACCAACTCATTGCGAGACCTTGAGTCTCGGACAGCTTTGAAAAGCTGGAGAAATGTAAGCTCTTCTTTCATTCCCGACAAACCAAGACGTGATGCAGTTGCGGCCTTCCGCTTATATACAGGCCACGATTGTCTTTCTGCTCACTTATACCGCATAGGCCTTTTCACCATGCCTTTTTGTCCACTTTGTAAATCTGGAGAGAAATTGGGCAGGGACCACCTGCTTCTATGTGGGGCCCTTCATGGACACACTGAGTCCTCAAGATATTGGGAAGCAAGAGAACTTTTAAGGCAATGACTTCGGTCATCTTTCTTTGTTATCCTACGCACATTTGTATTCGTTATCTATTTCATCTTTCTATTTGGACCTTTTTGCCTTGCCATTGGAAATAAAAGAAAAATTATCTAAACTTATAACTATTTTTGAAGCAAATTGAAGTTTTAATGATATCAAGTATAACTTGTTCTAAGATTTAGATACACGTATTCTCCCATGAAAATTAATTGTTATGCATTTGATTTTTTTTTTACCATGAATTATTTAACTTATAAACCATTATTATGGTAAGAAAATAATTAAATGATTTCGATAGGGTACTAATTTTTTTCTATGAAAAGTTTTAAAAAGGAGAAAATTAGTAATGCATATTTCTCAAATTATTTGTAAAATAATGTGTGTATATATTTTTATCAAATGTCTTCTTTTTTTTCGTTTTCTATGTCTATATAGCTTTCTAAGTATAATATTGGCCACAACACTTAGGTATGGAAAATGATTTTCCTTTTGAAACAAATTAAGATTTTACATTATTTTGAATAGCTAATTTGTTAAATGATTTAAACTTGATCTAATAGCTGTTGATTCTTTAATGTCCTATTTTTCTTTGATTTTACAATAATAGTTTTTCATGAATGAAATGACTATAATTTTTCATGAGTGAAAAATTGATTATTTTAGACTGCTGCCTTCAAAGTATCGGAACATCTACATAAACTACCTAAGAAAGATGGTCTTGTTCCAATGTTTATAAATGCTGAAAGTGGTCATTTTCGTACTACCTCTACTATAACTGTAGGTGCAAGAGCTGATAGTTATTATGAATATTTATTAAAACAATGGATTCAAACAGGTCAAAAAATTAGTTGGTATGTTTCTATTTTTATTGCTTTTGTAATTTTGAGTCAGTTTTGTTTTGTAATTTTGAGTGTAATTTTTGTAATTTTGTTTATTCTTCAATCATTTTTTAAAATTTGTTTGAAGACCATTTTCAAATTTTTTACAGATGTAAATAATAAATAAGATTTTTTCTGCTCAATGTTAGACTTTTTAAATAAAAACTATTTCTAAATTGTTGACTTAAACTAAAGTTTATCATTCTGTAAAATTATATATCTATTTACTTATTATTGTTTATAGGTTAAAAGAAGATTATATCGAAGCTATAGATGGAATTGCAAAACATCTTGTTAAACAATCATATCCAAGCAAGCTTACTTTTGTTGGTGAATTGCTGAGTGGCCGTAGTTATAGTCCAAAAATGGTTTGTTTATCTTTAATGTATGGTTGAAAGTGCAGCAGTGCATAATTGCTTAGCTTTTCTTTGTGGTACTAAAAACTATGCTTTCCTTTTTACTTCTGTGACATACGAATAATTTAAAAACATAAGTTTTAGAAAGAGTGATGGAAAAACTATATCATGTTTTGTTGTTTTGAATTTATTCCACATAATTTTAAGTTTTGTTTTATTTCGCTATCATTGAAGACATTTTTCTTCAAAGAATGTTAAAGTTGGCAGGACAGTAATAATAAAAAACCAGTGTTTTTTTTTCCTTTTTAGAAACGTATTTATTTATGTACAAAACAGGGATAAATAGTTGTACATCTGATAACTTCAAAATGTACCTCACTCTTCAAATATACCATAGTTATTTTGAATTTTTTGCGTCATGAAAAATGTAAATTTGTTTCATTTCAGTCATTAAATGTTTTATTTTCTCCATACATGCTTAAAAGTGTTTATAAAAATGTTTCATAATATTTTTTATTCAAAAGATCTTAAATTTTTATAGTTGATTGAATTATTTTTGATATTGCAGAGTTTCCAAATTGCTCTCTTTTCCCTTCATAGTCTGTTTTTAATCATTTTGGTTCTTTCGGTCCTCTTTTGAATGATTTGGAAATAAATTTTAAAAAGTTTTTCAATTTCATTACAATAGCAATGCATGCAAACTTTAGTTTTTTACTTGCTCAACTCTTGCAAAGGAACCTGCCCTTCCTCTCAAGAAAAAGGAGCGACTCAGCTGATAGTGACATATTTCTGATTGTGTCATATGAAATTGCCCTTTTTGCAAATAAATTCTCTTCATCTCAAAGTATACTTGTAACTTATGTGACAATACTTTCTTAGTTTTTTGTGTAATGCATTACCTAGAGTGAAGTTTTAGGTGTTATAGTTTTCTACTTCTGGTTTAGTTTTTAGTAGAACATAAATTCTAGCATAGTGATGCACTTACCTTCCTTTTTCTATTCATTCAAAGCAGATTTTTAAACTGTACTTTATAATGTCAAATCAGAAATATCCAATTATAAGTAAGTGTGAATTTAAATCAGCTAGCTTTAATTTTTATATTATTTTCAGATTTTCATTTACTCATCTTTCTATTTAATGACTTGTTTTTATTTACAATTAATAACTGTTTAGTTGCAATATTTTTAATTTGAAATAAGTTAAAATGAAAGGTTCATATACATAGATGCCAACTTGCTCCGGATGGCAAATATATATCTTAAAGTGGTAGTTTATCAATTGTGATTTTTGGTTTAATAAATTCAATTTAGTAGATTTTTATCCACCACTATTTCTAAATAATTCGTAGGCTTATAGAATTCACCACTTTATAGTAATTATGTCATGCCATACCGTTTAAAAAGCAAGCAAAAATAGTCAAATATTTTCAAAATTTACTTTGTAGTTACTTACCGTTTTTTTAAAATTATTTTGTCTTGTCCGGAGCAGTTGGCATCTCTGCATATATGGTCAAAATAGGTTTCGTGTATGATTATAACTGACTGTATATTAAAAATAAATCCAGTGTTTTAATTAGGAAATATGTATTTTTACTGTTTTTTACTAAGTGTTTAATTTTGAAAAATATATTTTTATTGAATTATAAATTAAACTTTACTCTTATATATTTTAGTACTTTTTTTGTTGCCCTGATTAAACTTCCTATTTAATTGTAGGATCATCTAGTCTGCTATTTACCTGGTACATTAGCCCTTGGGTATCATTATGGAATGCCTTCTTCCCATCTTCGTTTAGCTTTTGAACTGATGGATACTTGTTATAACATGTATGCTCAAACTGCAACACAGCTTAGCCCAGAAATTGCATATTTTAATTTACAACCACATGGTACAAGTGACATTATCATCAAAGTAAGCTATTTTTATTTAAAAAGCCTTTCTGTTGGAATTCAAAGCTATGTTTTCCCAGTTTATTCTAGTATTAACTTTTGCTCACTTTTTAATACTTAGTTTAACTATGTTTGTATAATAATTTTGTTCACAAAATGGAATATATAGGTTATAGTAAAAAGGAGAAAAAATTTTTGATCACAAAGTCTTTACATAGTGTGTAAGCCTTTTGGGATTCTGCACATGAGCGAAATAGGAGTATCAATGAAAAATTATTTTTATTTAGTCCTTACCTACTGATTTTAAGGCAAATGAATATGTGGACTTATGAATGTTAAATAATATTTGGCATGAAAAATCTTTGTGTTTATTGTTAGTGCATTGGTGATTTTACTCAAGATAATGACCTTACAGTTGAGTGATAAAAACGATATCTTTTGAGAATTTCCATTATTATTTGTCCCTTTATTAAAGAGTGTTATGAAATTTTGTTGTTTGCAATCAATCTGTGATAATTTTTTTCTATTCCTTCAACAATCCTAAGCAATTAAATAAGTAAAAAAAACAAAATTGAGTTGATTAAAACAAGAAAAAAAAAGTTAAGATATCTTTCCCCCTTCTAACAAGCTATTCTCAGGGTTGCCACAGGCTACTAAAATGCAACTATTTGCTACTATTTTCGGCCTTAGGCGATTATGGCGACTTTTTTTTGCCTGAAAAGGCTAAAAAAGCAACTATTTTCAGGAATAGGCGACTATTAGGAGACTTTTTTTACTCTTGGCGAAGTTTTTTCGCAAAAATGAACGTTACTTTTCAGAACGTTAATAAAAGAAAGCAAACTTTTATACAATCATTTATGTCCAAAGAGCCAAAAATTTAAATTTCCATTGGATTTAATAAAGTACTTGTTATATGTTCTCTCTGAGGGGCAGTTTTGTTATTTTTAATTGTTTTTTCCTTCTATTAACATTCATATTTTATTGTAATTCGACTTTTATTTAGGTACCTATTTTCTAATATGTATACCTTTTATATTTGTACAAAACTTTTTTTTTTTAATTGGAGCATAGTTAGGACTGGGCTATAAAACGATGTATTGTGAAACATCGATTTAACGCATAAACCAGTAGGCCGATGTAGTGACTTTCGTTTTAGGAGATGCATCAGAAATCTGATTTAAGCCGCCGGAATAAGATTACAATTGCGGTTTAACGATTTAATATGCAAGGATCCTTGACCAGGCTAACGCTGTTACCGCACTAACGAAGACGATTTTGATTTCGTCTAGCTGCAGAGATGTAGATAGCGTTTTGCTATTAAGATGATGTTAGTTTTGTGATGTTGAATGACGAAGAGCGAATTGAATCAGAACTCCCAGTTTCATGCAAGGATCACCGTTGTAATATAGAACGCAATGCATAGTTTCTTTTCCCATTTTTGTCTTTGGGATTTTGCTTTTTTTGAAGATTATTTACAATGGGACTTAAGTCATTTTGCGATCGTTGTGCATTTTATTTTGTCGGAAATAATTGTTGGGCTTCTTGTAAATTATTTTCAGTGAGACTTTTGCAGTGATCGTTTCGTTCTGCATCATTTCATACCATTTTTTTTTGTCTGTGTTAAACGCTTGTCAATTATTTTTAGTTGACCTACTGTTACTTTGCGATTGCTGCACAATCGCTGTTATCTTAAATTTTCGTTCTGAACTCAATCGATCAAATCATTGATTTTTTTCAATTATTATTTTTATTTTAAGCCATACAGTTTAATAGGGGTATTTTGTATTCAACTTTGTTATAAAAAGTTTGTTTTTTTAAATTTTTAAATGTAGTTAAGTATAATAATTTGATTTTTTTTCAACCAATAAATGCTTTGTCGTTTTTAATTATAAAAAAATTAAAACAAGGCCTACATTTATTTAATTTGCTTTTATTTTTGAGAAAATGAAAACAAAGTTTTAAAAAAATTTGGCTATTATTTAATTTTAATTAAATAAAAAGTTTAGTAATGTTTTGACGTTTTTAATAATTAACATTAGTACTTAAAGTATTTTTTTAAAATTCTTATTAAAATTCTTTCAATACTTGTTTGTTTTATAATTTGTTCGATAGTCAGTATCATTTTTAAACAAATAAATCTTTAGTCGATTTTATTTTCAAAAATGAAAATAATAATAAATAAGTAAAAATATTTTTACATTCATTAAGTACATAATTTGACCATTAGTTAATACTACTTTTTATTATTTTAAATAAGTAAATAAAAGAGGGTCTAATGATGTTTCAAAAGCATGTTTTTTTTTTTCAACAAGTAAAAAAAATTTTTTTTTCTTCTGAAGTGAACATTTTTTTGGTTTGGTTTCCGCTTTTGTTTTTTTTCTTTTAATTTTTAATGCATGTATGTAAAATAATTTGTTACAGTATTATTATTTGAAACCAATAAATCTTAAATCATTTTTAATTTGAGAAAAGTGAAATAAAGCTTGGGTTTGCTTTCACTTTGACTTCTTTATTTAATTGAAAAAGTTAAGCAATGATATTGATGTCATAGTAGAATATGTTTAGAATTAATATTTTCTTTTGTAATAGATTTATTCCTTTTTATTTATTTTTGATTGATTTAAAGATTTCCCATAGGTAATTTTTGAACATATGCTAAATTGCGATACATCACTATATCGTGATGTCTAACTGACGATGTATCACGATTTAAAATTCCTGACATCACCCAGTCCTAATAATAGTATTTGACAATTAAGCTATAATTTTAGTTATTTGGCTACTATTTTTGATAAATTTTTGTTCCTGTTCAGGCAACTATTTTCATAGTTTTAGGCAACTATTTTCATGCTTGAGGCTACTAAAAGCAACTATTTTTGTTCATTTTTTACTGTGGCAACCCTGTATTCTGAAACTTAATCTTATAGAAAAACCAAAGAACATAAACTTAAATCTGAAATGCTATGAAAACTTTTAGTGTTCAAATGCAGAATGATAAAAAGGCAATAAGGGCTTGTTCTAATTAAACCAAAAGCTAACTCATTGATTCCAAATAATCAATTTAGATAAAAGGAAAGATAATATTTGAATTTCTGTTTTCCATCTTTTGAAGTTTTAATAACTAGTTAGTTGAGACAATTTAGGTTAACTTTATCTTAAATATTCCACTTTTTATTGATATTAAGGGATTTATTATCCTTGGTTTCAAGACCTAATTCATCCCTCTACCCAACAGTCAAAAAGCAATTTAAAAAAATCTGCTTGAATGGCATAATAAATTTTATAACCGTTTTCTGATGTAAATTCAATTGACTGTTCCTATTATTAAACTATTAAGTTAGAACATTGAAACTCTAAAATGTAGAGCAACAAATCTCGGTGTCAAAAGATTTAAATCTTCTGATATTTTTGTTCTTCAGAGAAATGTTGCTATATTTTAACTTTTTCAACATGCTTACAGTTCATTTCCCACCAACGTGTGATACTGCACACGTTGGCACGAGAATGGCAGCAAATGTGTTGAAGATTACTAAACATAAAATTTCACATTTTTCCAACTAAAAAATTCTTATACGTATACTCTTTTTTAATATTTATGACAAACTGGTATTGCTTTTATACTGTTCAACAATTATAATATGTAATTGCAGCCAGAAAACAGAGGAAAATTTTTTATGGCGACACTTATCTGATTTTCTGTGGGCTGTTTCCGTTTAATATGTGTAGTAACACTTATCTTTGTTTTTCTTACAGAGTAATGATGCTCATAATCTTCTACGTCCTGAGACAGTTGAAAGCCTCTGGTATTTATACTACATGACTCATAATGAAACATATCGTGATTGGGGTTGGCAAATCTTCCAAGCATTTGAAAAGTATGCTAAAGTTGAAGGAGGAGGATATACTTCCTTGGGTGATGTTCGTAATCCTTTGTTAACTAAACCAATGGATCTAATGGAGAGCTTCTTTTTAGCTGAAACTTTAAAGTACTTATTTTTATTATTCAATGACAATCAAGATTTGTACTCGTTAGATCGTTTCATATTTAATTCTGAAGCTCATTTGTTGCCGATTTTAAATTCCTAATAATAGTTTTTATTATGTTTTTGTGTATAGTATAGGGGGAAATATTTAACTTCAATTGTTAACAAATAAAATGATTTATGTTCTTGATGTCTGTGTCTTTTTTTCTACATTTTATTATCATTAAAAATTGTTTTAACTGTTCTAAATTTTCTGGATTTCATTATTATATTTAAAGTGGTAGCAAAACTTATAGTTGTTTCTTAGTTTAATGTATTTACATTTGAATATTACTTATAAATAATTTATGTGTAAATAGGCCTCAAGATTATACAATAAGTTAAGTAGTGGAAAAGTTAACATTTTCCTTTTTAGAGTTATCAAAAAATATTTATTTCACTACCTCTGTGAAAAATTTTGTTTAGAAAGTGTAAGAGTTGGCAGTCATGCAATGTGGTTATTAGGAAAGATTTTTTTTCCTATTTTTAATGTGCTTAATATCCAACTTTTTTTAAAATAGTTTTATGAAAAAATTAGAAATTACCCCTTGATTTCTAAATAATCTATTTCTTTTCAGTTTTAACACATAGTAGACCTTACAAGTCAAATGTAAACCATTCAGTTTTCCTTAAGTTAATTCATCAACTATTGCACATGCCCTTGTGATGGTTATCAACACAGATAGTCGTCGGTAAGTTTTTAAATCTGGATATAGCTCAAATTGCATGCTTACAAAAATGGACACAGTTTGAAATTCGTTTTTTTTTGGAAATGGACGCAGCAGAAAGTGCACTTTTTCGGTTTTCAACCCAAATTTAACAACTAATCAAGGAATTTTGAGCATAATGATTAGGGACTAAGCAGTGGGCATCAGGGTTGGGGTGGCAAGATATATTGCAGGTGTAACTTTCAGTGAGATGTCTTCATATTCAGAACTCTAAAATTTCAACAACATAAATTTACTACCACTATTTCAAATTTATAACACCTGTGGCAACTTAGTAAAAACAACTTGTTGGCTTTTAAAATCTTTTTTTTTAAAAAAAAGACGAATTTAATAAATTGTACCAAGTGAATTACGCGAATGGAATAACACATTACGGATTCATTTGAATTTATTAGTTCATTCTTTAAAGAAGGAACAATACTCATAAAAAGGTTTGAAAAATGGTATCAAATGCAATGTCTATTTTCTTAAACATGCATTGCATGCTGTGTCTGTTTTCTTAAAGTTGCGTTATGAGCTGTCTGTTTTCATAAACATGCATTTTAAATTTTGTCCATTTTTTGTTAACATGCATTTTGAGCTATGTCCATTTTCGTAAACGTAAACATGCTTTTGGAGCTATGTCCATATTTAAAAAGACACTGACATAGTGCTTTTGTTACAATTATTATGTATATATTGAGTGTATAATTTTGCCGCGCAGGGGCACAAATATTTGTATCTTCCTCTCTCGCTGATGCATTATGGTAGCAAGGAATGCTGTAATTCTCATGGATAAAAATAAATTTTCTTCCGCGTTTTTTTAAAAAATATTTATAAAAGTGGTAATTAAGAGGTAAAGATTTAATCCTTCATTTATACGTAATTAGTACTTTGAGGTAAAATGTGGTAGCATAACTTTCATGCACTCCATTATGTTAATAATTTAATAACAAGCATTTTGATTGGAATTAGAGCAATTTTCAATCTTCAAATGGTAGGCTATTAGGAGAAAATATCTGCTTAATTTGAAAGTAAGTTAATATATTATAGAGCTATTATTGAAATGAATTAAATTGGGTCGATGTTACTGAATTTTTTTAGGGGAAAAATGAAATTCTGGTACTATTATGTCTGAAAACAGTATTTAAAACACTCGTGAATGAATTAATATTTATAATGCATAACTTTGGTTTCTTACAATGTGATTTTCAAAAATGTGAATGTATTTATATTTAATGATCATAAATTTGGTTTCTCACAATATGGTTTTTAAAAATTTGAATTTATATTTAATGAACAAATTTTTTTATATCAGTTCTTGATCTTACCTAATTTGGGTGTGTTATCAAATCTGAAATTAGTTTTGTTCCGAAAGCTGCAGATTTTTTCCAAAATTGTACTTTTAATTAAGTTTATTTTTTGTCTGAATGTACATGTTAATATGGAACGATAAGTTACATACATATATATACACTTTTTTACTTCAAAAATAACACTATAGACAAAAAGTATATGACTTTAACTTAGTATCATAAACCGAAAAGTATTATGGTCTTTTTCCTACCACGCTTCAAGTATGCTTCAAAACCGGTATTTGATTAGATTTTGGACGAAGTTGAGGCAAATATTCTGGTTGTGGTTGTTAGCTTGGTTAACACTTAACTTCACTACTCAACAAAATGAAAAGATGACTAGATGAGTAGTAGTTTTTTTTACGTCGTACTACAGCTGGACAATGGGCTATTGGTGACTGTCTGGGAAACATCCCTGTGGATAAACCATCACAATTTCATCACACGTTGGTAGTGAGCGAAGTCTAACTTTGTTGTAGTAGCTCTGAACGAGGATTGATACTGCATACCCTCGGTCCATTCGTAGGCTGAACAAAGCGCTCACTGTCATTGCCAGTGATGCTTGACTTCGGTGATCTGCATGGAACTGTGTCTTTCGAACAGTTCACTGCAGGGGCGTACGCAAGGGAGGGGTTTAAACTCCCCCCTTGAGCTCAGACAAAATGGCAAAAATAAAAATTTTAGTAGAAGTTATGCGCGCTATTATTTTTTAAGACTATATATTTTTATTTGCCTTATGCCTACTTTTATTTTTCACGGTATTTCTCAGAATACTGAAAAAACATTTACTATAAAACATTTACTATAACATTTACTATACACTTTTGAAACCAAATTCACGTGATACTGTTACGGGCTGGTTCGCAAGAATGTAACAATTTTGAATTATTTTGATAAAAAATCACGACCTGAAATTAGTTAGGTGACAGCATCTAGAACCAATGAAAGTTTTTCTGTTGAACAGAAATGTCATACTTCCGTTGAAGAAAACGTTTCTAGCATAGCAAAATCTGATGAATGAGAAAGTGGCCCTCAAAGTGCTACTTCCCACCCATATGACATAGGACATTTTTCTGAAGATATTACATGCGAGAAGATATTTCATTATGTTCTTAAACTTAAAAAATTTAACTAAACAATGCTGTCTAAATAAAAAGTAAAAATTGTCTAACTGTCTAAATTAGGGAAATAATAGTGCTTTATTACATACTCGAATTTCTTTTAGTGGTTTCAGAAAATTATGAACACCCCCCTTGAAAAAATTCTGCATACGCCACTGGTTCACTGTATGATGAAATTTTACTGAGGGATAATGGAAATATCATGAAATGTAAGATAACTCTTTCAGTGATGTCCTGGAATGTTACAGGAGAGAGGTCTCCAGAGATGCTCTTTTATGCTGTGGTTTGGAGAGCTGAATGGCTGCTTGTTGTCACTCATTAAATTGGATTCAGGGCCAACTTTGTCCCTGGAAAGGAAACATGAGAATCCAAAACATCGTTTCAGCACATAACGTCAGCCATAGGGATTCTTTCAAATATGCAGAGAAGGTGCGGTCATAGAACATGATGATTTCCCAAACCTCTGTTGTCATAACAGATGATTTCTCAAACATTGAAGATATATAGCGGATTCTTGTTTCATACGATTCAGTGAACTAGGGAACCGTTACTAACTCTCTAATGTCCAAAAAATCATTCATGTTAACGAAAAGTTCATGGTCCAGTTGTTTTTTTAAATAGCTGATTGCTCTCTATTTCTTTAAAAATGGTACTACTTTGACTGAAGTCTGGGAGACAGCTTTTTCAGTGGTCTCCGATTGATTTCATTTTTATGGACGCTTGAGCTCATCTGCTTGACGATTTTCGAGAAAGTGTAAAAATTCCCCGGATGAATTCACCTGTCAAGACCACAATTCTATACAGCAAGTCGGGAACGCTCTAGGGAGAGCAATAGCAATTCGCTAATCTTCCGTCAATTAGGCAAATTTATTGCTGTAATAGTGAAAATGGATTGGAATTGTTATGTTCTCCATAAACCTGAGGTGTTTAATCTAAAACAAGTTTTCGATTGGAGCCCTCAAGGGAATAAAAAAAAAGAGGAAGGATTAAAAAACTTGGCGAAGAATGGTTATAAATAATCTAAAAACAATAGGTCAGGTAAGAAATTTGTCGAATAGTTCCTGAAAAATTGATTTTCAATTGTACAACATCTTTATAAAATTCTTACTATTCAAAATCTTTTTTTGACTATTATTAAGTAAATTCATAATAAATAATTGCTCAAAATTATTATTTTTTCTTTGCATGAAAGTATCTGAATAAGCGAATTATATAATTGTCTGAAAATTTTTTCGATTCACTAAGAACATTCTTGAGAGGAGAAATTCGCAGAAAGTAAATCTCCTGACTATTTCATTGGGCATTATTTCTCAGATTGCTGATACCCCCCTTATATTAATGGTAAGGAATCCACATCCATCGAAAAGAAAGTATGTTTAATCAGAGAAAGTACGTTCTTGAAAGTGAATTTCGTAACTTAAATTATCGTCTGCTCAATTTAATTTGCTTATTTGATGTCATTCATTTAAACCCATAAGTCCTAGGGCTTAAAGATTCGATCCCTTTATCAAAAATTATAAAGGATGTATATTACGTATTTTTTTTCTTATTGTACAGAGCGCAAAAAAACGTACCACTAAGAATGACTTTTGATCTAATGTCTTCACGTTCCAGGTTTTAATCTTAATGTCTCGAGGGGGTGACCTCAAATATGCTAATTTATAAGTGCAGATGATATTTTAAGTTATGAAAACGTAATTTCTCTCAACAAACGTACCTTTTTTTAGACGGATTTCTGACCCCCAAAATATGGTCCCAATAGTTTGGTCAGGAGAGCGCTTCAAAGTTTGAACCTCTTAGTGTTATTTTTACTTTTTGCGTATTTCGCTATATCTCGAGAACTTTTTAAGCAAATTGGAAAATTTTTGCACACAATTATAAAATTCGTTTATCCAAAGATAATTTCATGCAAAAAATAACTTCTAGTAAATATTTATTATTTTTTATTATATTATTGAATACTGGTCGAAAAAATTGTGAAATGTGAGGTAAATAAATTTTTGTATCATTTTAAAAAACTTAATTTTACAAGGCAAAAGACAAAATTGGAGAAAAATCGTTCTAATAGTTCCTGAGAAATCGAATTTTAAGTATCTGACTTTTTATAATTCAGTTTCTCAGGAACTATTCAACCGATTTTGCTCAAATTTTGTATTTTACGATGTAAAATTATGTTCTTTAAAATGATGCAAAAAATTGTAGACCTTACAAGTCAAACCATTATGAGTGACCATTATGAAATAACCATTATGAAATAAAATAATAAAAAAGAATAAATATTTACTAAAAGTTATTTTTTGTATGGAATTATCTTTGGATAAATGGATTTTATATTGTGTGCAAAAATTTGTAAATTCGCTTGAAAAGTTCTCTAGACATAATGAAATATGCAGAAGGTAAAATTAACATTAAGAGGTCCAAACTTTGGAGCTCTCTCCTGACCAAATTTCACAGATTGCTCCTATGTTTTGGTGGTCAGATATCCGAATCCGCTTAAAAAAAGTATCTTTGTTCAGAGAAAGTGCGTTTTTGTGTCTCATTTCGTAGCTTAAAATATTGTCTGAACATATTAATTAGCCTATTTGAGGTTACCCCCTACAGCCATTAGGATTGAGTCCTAGTAAGTGAAGAGCCGATTATTAGATCAAAAGGTATTCAGGGTGGTCCGTTTCTCTCTCTTTTATTTTTTGTTCTACTGTGCATTGTAAAGGCGGTCAATATAAATATAATTGACAATTTAATTTATCTGACTACTTTTAATTAAATAGATTCCAGAAAATTGATTTCTTAGCCTTCAATTGGTGAATAATTTTTGGTCTTGAACGTAGCATTGAATTCATACTAAAATCACTGATCTGTTCAATAAATAATGTTTATTTCAAAGCCTTTTTGGGGAAAATAAGTTCATTTTTGGAGTTTGTTTTCATCATCCAATCTGTTGTTTTCCATATATTCTGCCACACTTTTTGCTTCTCGTAGGTTTTCAAGACATTTCTTGCAGAAGATCACCAAATCATCCATTTCCGGAGAAGAACGTAGTTCGCCTGAGGAAGAAAGGAAAACCACAGTTAATATTATAATAAGAAAATTATTCGAAATTATATTTACTCTTAAATGATCGATACTTCAGAGTGCTTTTTCGAAACATTTTTAGCAAGGAAAGTAAAGTCATAGTACCTTATAGCAAAGAATCTCATGGACTTTAAAACGAGCTAATAGACTAATTTCAGAACTCATAACAGTTACTAAATTAGTATGATATTCGTTAGAAAGCGCAAAAAAAAAAAAAAAAAAAAAAAAAAAAAAAAAAAAAAAAAAAAAAAAAAAAAAAAAAAANAATAAATAAATAAAAAAAACTTTGAAGAACAGCTTTCAATGTATCTCTTTAAATAACACCAAAATAATACTAGATCGTTCGAAAAATTTGTGCGATTATCGGTAGATAGCATGCACGGGCGTCGCAACCAGGGGGGTCTGGACTCCCAATAATTGGGAATAATGGGGTCCATTATTTTGAGGAAATATTTCTGTTTTGTTTATGTCTTTTACTCTTTTTTTTTCCTCCTCTTCTCTCCTCCCCTTTTTTTACATAGTGCAACTTATTATAATATTAAAAGAAAATTAATTAAAAATAAAATACATAAAAAATGCACTCCATAAAAAAATTAAAACAAGTGTATAGAGAACTGCAAGATTCCTTAAATAAGTAATAAAATGCTCTTTGCACCCAATCCTTTTTCTCCATGGAGTTAAGCCACCCACGGAGTCATTTGATACCTCAAAAATAGCAGTTTACGCTATGGGAAATTATCCTTTGCATTTTGAAATTGTCTTTATCGTATTTATGGCCCTGGACTCCTTTGCCATCTTTTAAAAATGTGAGATATCGACAAAACCATCTCTTTGTTGACTCATAAATTGTCCATAACAGGCAGTTTTCTAGAATTTCTAGGAAAACAGATGTATTAAGCTTTTAGGGATTTAAGTAGGGGGAAACTCTTGTTGATATTTTCTATTTCTTGGTGATTTTGCCAAGAGACTTTCTCGGATATTCTAAATCCTCTCTTACAAAGTTCTCATAGTTCTATTTCACCATAATTTAATTTAGCTATGTCCAGTTCAAAATTTTGACAAATATAAATATTCTGTTTACTTTTACTTTGCTTAATTAGTTTTTTTAACTTAAATTATTAGTTGTTAAAATTAATTATTAGTTTGACAATTTACTTGAAACAATTTTTATTTATTTATATTACATTTTATCATTTTCTAAATGAATTATACCATCGAAAACTCCAGTTCTTAATAAAGTTTATCTTTGGATTACGAGAACTCATTAAATAAATCCATTTCTTGGAAGGTAAGCAAATGTTTGTATTTAATTACGTAATACATTTATAACTGTATGTTTATGAATTTTTTGAATTGTTTTATATTTTATAAATGAAATTTATTTATACAGTACAGTTCATGATTTCACCGTTCATTGTTTGAGCATGAATCTATTTTTAACGCTCTTATTTTATATTTATGAAATTAATGGAACTTTTAAAATTTTTAAAACTATAAATCAAAACTATAAATTCTTATGATTTCTCAATAACTTTGTTTTCATTTATAAACTGAATGTCACGTTTAATTTTATAAAAAAATTACAGATAATTTAATAAACAAATTTATATAAAAATTTTGATAATTAATATCCTAATACAAAAAATACACAAACTTACATTTTAATTAATTAAAAGAACCAAGAAATATTTTATATGCAAAAGTTTCATGTATAAAATCCATATGATTTTATTATGCTCAATAATATAAATATTTTTAAGAATTTGATAATTTGTTAAACTTAACTTATTGTATGAGAGTGTTAAGTGTACTTTATGTAGTTTTATTTATTTTGTTTTTATCAAAATAATGTGGGATTTTTAAAGTAATTATTTTGTGCTAATTAACATTTTCAGAATTTGGTATTTTTCACAAATATTTTTCTAAGTTAAAAATATTAATTTTTAAAAATTTAATACTGAAACTATAAATAGTGATAAACGAGGTAGAAAATGAGAATTCTATGTGTTTACTTTTTTGTTTCCTTTTGTAAATTCATAGTTTTAAAAATCTACCAAATGATTCAAGAAAACTATTTCATCTTGTCTGTTTCTTTTCTTATAAATAATAAAAAGGTAAATATATTAAATAAAATATGCATGAAAATAATTCCGACCACCATTATTATAAATTATCATTTCTTCAAAATATGAGTTCTTTCAATCAAATTGAATAATTTTATTTTCCTCTTTAAACACAACAATTTCGGTTTTTAAAACCATATAAGTTGAACCGGAATAAAGATGAGAAAAACGCTAAACTGGAAACTACTATAATATTCTTCAATTTTCATTTTCCAGTTTAGAGTTTTATATATCTCTATTTAATCATGATAATCTTTACTGTAACCAATGTTTAAGATAGTTACTCTAATTATTTTTTAATGTTGTACTTTTCATCTCAGAAATCCAAATCAATTCAAATTAATAGTAATTTTTATTTATTTTTTGTTTTGTTTAGCAAAACGTTTTACGAATTTTTCTTACAATTTTTTAAAAGTTCGACTACAGTTTAAAATGTTAAAAAAATAAATGTCTGAGGGGTAACCCTAGGGGTAAAAGATACTAAAATCAACTATATTTTTGTGATATGGTGCCCTTTACTTCCGAGGTGCAAATTTAATAATTATCAAAAATTTTTTGAAATGTAAGGTAGGGTAAACCAACCAGTGAAGGAACACTACCCAGTGAAGGAGCATTTCATATGTATTGATTAAAAATAAGAGTTTGAAAGTTTTTCTTTAGATTGATTGGTAACAATAGCTTACTGCCGAACAATAGGAAGTCATCTAGCGATGTTTTGGATTACCTGGCTAAATAGTCTTCTCTGGAAAAATTTTTGAATTTGTTATTATCTCTGCAACACCTTGTTTCGTTGAAAAAATTATAAGGTGAGTGTTTGTACTTATATGTTTGAAGTGGAATTAATTGCGTGTAATAGTTTTATTTTTCTCACTGCGAAAAGGAGAATTCAAAATATAGTTATTGAAGTTACGTTTCATTTTTTTAAAGCATGACTTTTTTTAAAGCAAGTACTGAGATAAGGGGGTGTTTATTCACTGGATCACCAAACGATGAAAAACCAGCGAAGGAACAAGTGTTCCTTTACTGTTTTTCTTTCTAAGTTGATGAAAATAAAAGATAAACTTTAATTTTTTTGTACCTTTAGTGATGTTCCGCATCAAAAGTATGTTAAAAATGCGAAAAACAGCTTCTAACCAGTGAGGGAACAAACAGGCACGTTCCTTTACTGGGCATAGATTCCCCAGTGAATGAACAGTATGCGTTAATATGTTGACACTATAATTTTCAATTCATGATTACAAGCAAAAGTTAACATTTTCCAAGTATTTATATGTTATAATTTTAAGAATAGGCTTGTAATAATATTTTAAATTATNCATAAAGAGCATTAAAAAATAACCAAAATTAAGTGTTCCTTTACTGGGTGTGCATTCACTGGTAAGAGCTGTTCCTTCACTTGGTCTTCTTACTACTTGTTATTTGAATCTCCAAAACTTTAAAACAATATTATGTAAGTTCTCTAAAATTTTTTTTTGCATAATTTGCATTTAGTAACAAATATGTTGACGATGTCATTTAACTAAACTGACGAATTTTGAAATTAGTATGATTTTTTAAAAGGCAAGCGAAGCTTAAGTGTTCCTTCACTGGTTAGTTTACCCTGTACAAATTTAACACCATTTTAAACTATGTAATTTCAAATGACAAAAAAATGATAAAATTTGAATGATAACGACCAAATACTTTCTGAAATTTCGAAAAATCCACATTTTTAAAACTATTTGACCAATTTCGTTCAAATTTTGTGTTTGTCTTTTAAAATTTCATTAATATGGTGTAAAATTTGCATACTTTTCAATTTAAAAAATTTTCGACTACTATTAAAGAAAATAATAAAAAATTATAAAAAAATATAAATAATTATTAAAAGCTATTTTAACATGACATTATCTTAAAAGAAACGTATTTTAGAATTATGTAAAAAAATTATTCTATTCTCTTAAAAGTTTTCCAATATTTCACGAAATGTGCAAAAACCGAAATTAATATTAAGGAGTAAAAATTTTTACCGTTCTCCTGCCTTAACTATTTCGACCATATTTTCTAGATTGTGGCTACGCCCTCCCAATATTTTGATGATTTAAAATACATATACGTTAAAAAATAGAAATGTTCATTCAGAGAAAACACGATATCATTTTCACTAATTAGTTAATATATTTGAGGTCACCCCATAGAACTTAGATTGGTACTTAGCTCGTGAAAATTCGATTTTCCGGCTGGCATATATTTTAAGAAATGGAATTCAGAAAAGATTTACCACCAATTAAACGAATAAAGGATTGCAATGGGTCGGGATGGCCCAGTGATTAGAGAATTAGACTCCGGTCCGTAAAGGTCGGATTTCGACTCCGCTAAGATCCATCGAATACATACATATATGGGTGATTCTCACGAAACATGACAATTCGGACCAAACAACCTAACTTTTTTTCTTCAAAACAACCTAAATTTTTTTTTGTATACTTCTTTAGCTACACTTATTAATATCTTATAGACAGCACATTTGCTCGAGAAAAAAAATAAAATGGAAATTCACCAAATCTTGAATGCCAGGAGAATGACATTATTACCTTAGAAGTTCAAAGCAGTCATTTTAAGTTAATAGTAAGTAACTCAACTTAAGCCTTTATGTTAGATGGACCATAAATTGCTTTAATTAATTCTTTTTGATCCACTGTAGAAAGAAGCAAAAATTTTTTTGTTGCTGATATATACAGAATAAAGTTGTGTATAATAATCAATCATTAAATAAATAAGTAACTTTGATTACATCCAAGCATATTACAATCATACATAAACTTGGTATTAGGTTAATATTTGCTTTCCCTCTTTACAGTATTAGCAGT